CACACACGAAAAAAAAAAGTTATAGAAATATCAAACATTTTTAAAAAGTTGTTAAAATTACTAAGGTAGATTCTGTAAGTCAAGGATATGTGTAACCTAAACATGATTTCTTTAAAACATAGACATAGTATGTACAGGGGATAAAAGGTAGAGTACTCACTGGTGGTTACGAACGACCCGGAATCCGGTGATGGCCGATGGAGAGTATTGAGGAATGCCGTCAAAAGAAGGGGTGAAGTCTACGGTGGTGTTGGCAGGGGCGTTCTGGCCGTTAGGGTCTACAGCGGTGATCACAGAGGTGCCTGCCGAATGGAAGTACGTGGTACTCGTATGTGGTACAGGATCGTTTAGGATATTTTCAGTTCTATGAAAAACAAAACAATACTCATTTGAGTAGCGCTACTATAGAACTTTTGTCGAATTTGTGCTTTCTTTTCTCTGTTTTACGAGAGAAGACTGGCATAAACGGGTGATCCTGGATTACATCTTTCTTGACAGCTCATAATAACTTATTTGAATGAAAGACTTGGCCAGTATTACAACAAACCTCTCTTGATTTTACAGAGATTGCCGGTACTTTGTTTATTTGTAATCTTTACTTGAATTTCTTCTCCTTTTTTTCCTAATAGCGAGCTATCATGAAGAAAAAGAACAATACCAACAGCGTAGTCATAATTTGACAACATTGGTACATGTATACCAGTTGAAGCGAAATTGTCTAGAAATGTCTCTTCGTTATGGGTGTGGTATTTGTTAAGCGATCTGTGATAATCTGTAAATATGTATTCACCAGTCAACCTATGATTCAGAGATACATCGGTGCTTCGTTAATTTCCAGGTCACCCTTCACTCTGAGTCTTTCTCCCCAAATCTCAGTTACCCAAAGCAGTCTCACATGACACATGTATTGGAATATTGATAAGTTTACGTCCATTTTATTTCTACCTTTCTCCAGCAGGAAACCCGTTCATATTATATTTAAAAAAGCACTGGTCTGAGTCAGTCACAGAGACAAAGAAAGAAAGAAAGAAAGAAAGAAAGAAAGAAGGAAAGAATGAAAGAAGCTGTTTGTAATTAAACATGACTGACGAAAATATGACGTGTCGGGGACACAAGTGAGCTGTCACTAGGACGTGTCATGTGTCCTTGAAGTTGAACAAAACACGACAATGTCGTAGCTAAAATAACAGGGTGCCGGAAAATGGCGACCTGCTACGGCATGCTGATTCTCTCTACTGTTATGATTCTGTCTCTCTGTAACGTTGATCGATTTTGGTCAAGTATGCATTAATTCCTGAGACCAAGACTGACACAGAAAGAAGAAAACAAATTAGCTGTGTTTGAAATGTGGTGCTTCCGTGGAATGTCCAGAATGATTTGGAAAGCAAAAAAGACGAGCAATGAGGTGTATCAAATTCCCCACACAAGATAAACCCTGCCGAATAACATATAATGTAGGAAAATACAATACTATGGCCACTTAAAACGACACGAGACCGTTGTGAAAGAGGTGCTCGAAGGAAAGATATGGGGCAGAAGAGCTATGGGGGAGGCAAAGAGTAACTTGGCTGGACAACATAAAAATATGGACTGGCCTGGATATGGCAGAATCAAAGCAGAAAGTCAACGGCAGCTCGCGACCGTGAAGGACGGAGGGTCATTACACGTCAACATCTGAGTCAGAGATGATGCCTCCATGTATCCAGGTATGAATTAATTCATGTATGAACGCAATTGTAAACGTAATCTACATAATTTAGGGTGAGTTGAATAAAATAGACATCCTATTTCTATTCTGTTTTAACTGTCCTGTATAATTTCCTCACCATGCTGCCTGTTGGTGGACCGGATGGTTATCTTCACGGAGTTTCTAGTCTCGTCAAGATCTCGTTGAGATTCTGCTGCCATGTCCGCCAGGGTGTCCACTCTCTCACTGGTGGCATTAGCCTGCACAAGAAGAAATCAAAACGATACTTTTGTTTTTGTACCGTCTCCCGATTTTGTGCTGATATTTGTAAGTTATGTAAAAGTGTGCCAACATTGTAGATCTACAAGTTGTTATGCTTAAACAACAACAACAACAACAACAACAACAACAACAACAACAACAACAACAACAACAACAACAACGAAAAAGGGATTCATGGTGATGATGATGATGATGGTGATGGTGATGGTGGTGGTGGTGGTGATGATGATGATGATGATGATGATGATGATGATGATGATGATGATGATGATGATGATGATGATGATGATGATGATAAAGTACATATTATGTATGATGCCTATTTTTTTTTTCAAATCGCTCTTTGGGTAACATGATGAGGGGAGGCGCTACTGGAACATTAAGACGTCTTTATCATGTACACCTGGTACGCAGTTTTGAATGATTTCCTGGTAATGAAAGGGGTTAACTAAGATATTCTGATGGACTCTTTTACTTCTACAATTCAGTACCATTTGATTCCCACACAAGATCAGATTGGGGTCTCAGGCTCTCAAAAATTATGATGGAGATGTAATATTGTGTATTAGATTACTCACATTGAGAATTGCTGTATTATAATAGTAAAAACATATACTAGCTATTAACAGTTAGAATTTGAGGGTGGTTATTTATATTATTTAACTCAATTATTTGATTTTTAAAAATCTTATATTTCTTTATATTTTTATAATAATTTATCTTT